AACTTGGCGGCACATCAGTGTCAGCCTTGGTAGGATAAATCTCCCTAGATCTATCCAACGGCTGTGAAGATTCTAAACTAACACGAGTCTCATAAGTGTTCAGTTTAAGGGTATTACACAGAAACACACCACAATGACATGAATCAATTATGTACTTTATTCATTTACAATAAATGTCAAAAGATACTTCAATCTGATTGGAGCTAAGGGCATAACTGTCTAACAGATTTGTGGAGGAATGGTTTAATCTGATTGGAGCTTATGATGACTTTACATGACTTTTAGTCTTCTCTTCATGGTTTAGTCTCTGAAGCTTTTCTTAGCTTATACACATGATGATTTGTGGAGGAAGTGGGGAGAAATGCCAGCATCTTCATTAAAGAAACCAAAGGTCCATATACTTTGGACACCACTTGAGGAGTAGTTCATCAAGCTTTGATGGGAGCAGTGCTGGAAATCTGGGTCCTTCAGGAGTGGGAGGTATTTTTAGAAATGTGCAAGGGCACATCATTGCTTTGTGTTTAGGACCATTTGGCCATGGGGACTTCACAAAGGCTGAGCTTCTTGGCAGTGTTACAAGGTTTACAGTGGGCAAGAGAATTGAATATCACAAAACTTGTCATTGAAGGTGATTCTAAAGTTGTAACCGGTTGACTTAAAGATGGTAACAAAGCATTTTGGGGTTACATGCCGTCCACTTTTCTTTTATAAGGGTAAATACATGCAGCCCACTTTTCTTTTATAAGGGTAAATACATGCTGTCCACTTTACTTTATATCCAATTATATTTTTAACAAAACTAAGCTAATTGTTGCTAACATATCATTCAAATAAAACTTGTAAAATGTGTCTTGATCTGCTTCTTGTTTGCATTTGATCTTTCTAGTTCCATGTTCCATATGAATTCCAAAATTTGCTTATTCTATTTTGTAACTTCCAACTCCTACAGAGGCATGCTATTTTTGATGCATTATGGAGATGTACAAGGCCCGCACGACTAGGGGATCTTTATACCTTCATACACGGACCTTCTAAGTCAACCAATACCAATCCAAAGGCACGGTTATTGGATGAGTATTGTCGGCTCCTTGGAAAAAGCTCCTACCATGTATCAAGTAGTATAGTGGAAGATGGGTCGTCGTCTTTGTCCAATGAGTGGTGGAGAATAAGTTGGGTGAATTCCAATTATACAATGTGTCCAACATATCCATTCTCCTTCATTGTCCCTAAAAGTGTAAGGTAGGTTGTTGGACTTGTGAGCAAGTCATTATTTGTCTTCTGCTCCCTTAACTGTAAGAAATATAACTTTATGGGAGATTTTGCCATCCTAATAACTCTCTGGAATGCTGCTACTAGTGATGAAGAAGTGCTACAGGCTTCTACTTTTCGTGCAAGGTGTCGGTTACCTGTGATTTCGTGGTGTCATCCAGGTCTTCATCTAATGCCATTCCTTTATTTACTATGCATGCCATTCAACTTTTCTATTAGTTCTAAAATCATTTTGTGTTGTAGGAACTGGTGCTGTTATTGCACGTTCATCCCAACCTTTAGTTGGTCTCATGATGAATATGAGGAGGTAATTATTGTTGGTGTTTTTTCTTATTAATGCAAGGTTAAGGGACATTTTCCCCCTTTTTTAAACATTTAAAATTTCTTAGTTTAGGATTCTTGTGTGCTTTTTTAAGTTGGCTGAATTAGATGTTCAGCCTAACTGCTTTGGTTTGGTAACCATCCTATTTTCTTTTATTTCATTTTGTTTCTTGGTTGAGATTTCTTTGATCTGCTTCTTTGAATTGGTCTGCAGCAATGCTGATGAAAAGCTTGTTGCTGCACTTTGCACTCAAACTGCAAGTATGAGGGGACCACGAAGGTGTGTATTTGTCTTCTCTATTATTTTTTTCATCTATATTCTATTTTATTTTGGGGTTCAGATTTTCTCTATATGAATTTTGTTTTTCTGTTCTCCACAAATATTGCACATGAAGGTGAAATTTCATCATGCCTTTTATTATGTGTAAAATGTTATATTTGAGATTATTCATCAAAAGAGAAATTTAATACTTGGGATCAATGTGTTGATTGCAAAAAGAAAAAAAAAAAAGAAAATAGAGTATCTCAAGGATTAAATGCATTGGTGGGTTTTTTTGCCAGTAGAACATTTCATTCAAGAAAGAAGAGAATGCAAGAAAAAGGTGAAGATGATTGCCTTGAGGAGAAATCAGAAGAATTTTACAAATTACAAATTATAGTGAGATGATTAACAACTCAAACGTTAGTGGAAGTGATGTTCAACTTGGACCAAAAGTAGGTCATTTCCGATGCTGGTAATGGCTATCAGAGGTGTTGAGAGGGGTTGGTTGGATAAGGACCTAATCTCTGGAATTTTTAGCATGAGGTGGCTGCTCTCAGACTAGTGCCCACATTCTCATGTTTGTCAGCCTGAGATTTCATTATTTCACCATAGCTTGGTTGAGTGAGTTAGAAGGCTGTAGACTTTTTGGTTCATTGTGTTTCAGTTTAATTTAATAGGATGAATTAGTGTGTTAATGGGAACTAATAAAGCGGAACAAAGACTAAGAATTTTTGGTTTCCAAGTGAAAATGGGGGTAAGATATTTGGATATGTTGGACAATTTAAGAGCCAAAAGTAACATGTGCTGTGTATGTAGGCTTTTGAGGAAATTGTATTGAATTGTTAAAAGAAAAGAAAATATTAGGTCTAAAGATTTTTTGATTATAAGTGGAGATTAGTTCAAGATATTTGGTACCAACCTGGCTATAGATCCATCATCACTTACTAAGGCCAAATAAGGCTGTGAGGTGGGAGTAGGACCAAATTGTGGTGCTGGGGCAGTGCAAGAAGATTTGATGATTCTGGATCTTGGGGGGGGGGCAAAGCATGTAAGCTGTTGGGAATGCCCATCCCTCTTTGAAGTTTCTTTCTTGGAGAGAGAAAAGAGAGGAGAAGAGAAGAAGAGAGAGGGAAAATAGTTTGGGAGTCAAAAAGTTTTGCTGGCGGCACTTAACTTCTTATTTATAATGATATAATATAATAATAAATGGGAGATTACATTTATACCCCTGGCGGCACACCCTAATAATAAACTAATTAAAAGAAGAAAAGGCTGACAGCACACTAACAACACTCCCCCTTAAGTTGGGCTGAATATGTCTTATCATGCCCAACTTGTCACACAACTCATTGTGCCGCGAGTATGGAAGCCCCTTTATGAGGACATCAGCTAGTTGCTCCTTGGAGTTGACATAATTCTCCCTTTTCCATTTTTTCCCTTATGAAGTGTTTGTCCACTTCAATGTGCTTGGTCCTCTCGTGTAGGACCGGATTGCTGGCAATGCTTATGGCTGCCTTGTTGTCATAGTAAAGAGACATAGGATTATGAGCAGTAACTCCAAGCTACTCCAAGCTCCCTTAGAAGATATTTTAGCCAAAGTACTTCAGCCACCCCATGTGCCATAGCCTTATACTCCGCTTCATCACTTGACTTTGCTACCACACTTTGTTTTTTGCTTCTCCATGTCACTAGATTTCCTCCCACAAATGTGCAATACCCACTTGTGGACTTTCTGTAATCCACAACACCTGCCCAATCAGCATCTATATAGACTTCCACCTTCAAATGATTATGTATACTAAATAGTAGACTTGATCCTGGATACTTTTTCAAATACCTAAGAATCCTCTCTGCTGCCTCCATGTGTGGTCTCTTAGGGGAATGCATGAGTTGGCTTAGAACCCCAACTGAAAAAGCAATGTCTGGAAGAGTCATGGACAAATAAAGCAACCTTCCCACTAACCTTTGGAACTATTTTACATCTTTCAGAGGTTCACCATCACAGTCACCCAATTTATGGTTGACATCCATAAGAGTATCTGCTGGCTTTGCACCTAACTTGCCTGTGTCTTGTAACAGATCAAGGGTGTACTTTCTCTGAGAAATGAAGATGCCCCTTTTTGAGTGGGCAACTTCAATTCCAAGAAAGTACTTTAATGGACCCAAATCTTTCACCTCAAATTGAGATTCTAGGAACTGTTTCAACTTTTGTATTTCTGAGCTCCAATTTCCTGTAATGATTGGTATAGGAAAAGAAAGAAAAAAAAAGTAACAAAAGCAATCAATGTCCACAACAAAAAGAACATTTTGGTCTAGAAATTTGCAAAGATCTAGAGCATCAAGATCAAGTAAATGATGTCAAAAAAAGATACTATAACAGGAAATGGGTATGTCAAAGTGAGAGGCTGGAATGTGGTCCATGAGGATGAGAATCAATCAATGCCAATAACCATTGAAGCTGAAAGACAGAATCAATGTGGGGTTGAAGAAAAAAGTGGGCAACACCAAGAAAACCAATCCCTGGCACTGCCCTATGTCATGTGGCACAAGCAGAAATCCCTCGACCCCTTGGTCTGCTAACTCAATGGTAGACTCTCTTTCCCAAGAGAGAGTGGGTAGACAAGAATCGAGGTGGGGTAAATACCCATTGAGCTAATACTGATCTATGTATGGGGTGGGAGCTCTATAGTGGAGCAAGGGAAGCATGATGCTAGTTGATTTCATTTTTCTGCTCTGTATAAAAGAATTTACACCTTGTACATCATTTCTTTATATTTCTTATAATCAATAAAATTCAAAATTTACTAATTAAAAAATTAATTAAAGCTGGTCCAAATCCTATTATAGGTCATACGTGATCTCCTTTTATTGGTTGGTAAAGTATATGTGATTGTGCATGTAATATATAAGCATCTATGCAGAATGCAGTTTTTTTTATTAGCAGAAAAGGAATTTTATTAATGAAAGATTAGGAATTACAAGATCTAGGGTGTAGGTTCCACCCCAAATCAACAAAGATTACAGATTTTCCCAAAACATTTGCCATCTCACAGCCCCTTCTTTGGCCAGAGAATCTGTCATTCCATTTGCTATTCTTCTTACCCACTTAAAGAAAACATTTAGTTCCCTTGTTAGGCTTACTATCTCCCTGAATTTATACCGGAATACCCAAGGAATCTGGGAGTTATTTCTGGTCCATGAGGTGACTACTTGGGAATCCCCTTCCACCTCTAGATTATGGAAGCCTAGTTGTTTCACAAGCCTTAGCCCCTGCAGTAGACTAACCAGTTCAGCTGTCAATGCATCGCTATGTACCGAGTGTCCTGAATATAAAGYCACCWCTCTACCTTTTATATCTCTAAAGACACCCCTACCTCTTGCCAATCCCCTATTATCAATGAAGCTTCCATCAAAGTTGAGTTTTATAAAATTGGGGGCCAGGGGCTTCCATTCCATCACTGTCCTTGCCTTGCCTATAGCTGATAGGGCCACATCTTTCCAGGTTCTCAAGATACCATTAAGTGAAAAGACTTTGAAATAATGCAAAGTTTTCACCCAACATGCAGCTTTCAGCCTAACTAACTTGAGGATTTATACCCGGGTCTTATTCTTATCATTGAAAGTTCTCCCACTTCTTTCTTTCCAAATGGTCCAAACCATTGCTGCTCTCATTGCTTTCCAAAGTAATCTTCGTCTTTTTGTTGGCTGTCTCAAGAAATGAGGATCAAAAAGGCCCACTGCATGCTGAGGAGAAATCCGTCTGCACACAAATAGAAAAAATAGCTGCTCCCAAACATAATGCACAAAGGAACAAGAAGTAAAGATATGGGAAATAGTTTCACCACTATTCAAGTAGAGAGAACACATCACATGACCAACATTTCTACCTTATTCAAGTAGGATCCCTGGGATTATAGACTTTGGTGCTTCTGATCATATGACCAACATTTCTACCTTATTTAGTTCTTATGACTTACTTTCTAACCGTGATAAGATTACCCTAGCCGGTGGCTCTTTTGCTCCTATCTCTGGCAAGGGAGTCATTAAGGCCTTCGACTTCCTTTCCCTTACTTTTGTCCTTAATGTCCCTAAGTTGCACACTAATTTGATGTCAGTGAACAACCTAACTAAATCCTTAAACTGTAGTATAACCTTTTTCCTGTCTTATTGTGTTTTTTAGAACCTGATGTCTCAGAAAGTAATTGGGGGTGGCCATGAGGCGAATGGAATATATCTGTTGGATATTTCTGGACAAAGGCAAGGACAACCTGAGAGAGTTGCTTTTGGGTTTACTTTTCAGAGTCTTTTAGTCGTGTCATGTTATGTCATTTTTGTTTGGGTCATTTATCATTTTCTGCTTTGAATCATTTATTCCCAGAGTTGTTTAAGGGAATTAACTTGTCTAGTCTTCATTGTGAGTCATGTGAGTTATCAAAACATTGTAAAAGCACTCATCCTTTGAGTAATAAGAGATCCACTTTTCCTTTTCATATTGTGCACTCTGATGTATGGGGGCTGTACCACTTACCTTCTATGGGTGGCTATCGATATTTTATCGTGTTCATTGACGATTTTTCTTGGTATACTTGGTTATTCTTGATGAAATCTCGTGATGAAGTTCCCAAACTTGTGAGACAATTCCATGAATTTGTTCTTACCCAGTTTGGTACAAGAATCGAGATATTTCGGTTCGGTAATGCAAAAGAATACTTTGGGAAAAACCTTTACTTTTTATCTCACTGACTTTGGGGTTATCCACCAAAGCTCCTGCATTCGTACTCATGAATAAAAAGGAGTAGCCGAAAACTTAAGTTTGTCACATTAACTACTTGATGCAATTGAGAAAAAAAGAGATTGTTGGTTTTATATGCTTGAAAATGTTTTATATGTTTGATTTCATTTTTAAATTCTCATTTGAATATGCTTTACATATTATGTTTATGTATTTTAATTTTAGATAATAGTTTTTTTAAAACATTTATTTTAAAACTTAAGTTTATATTTTTATTAATATTATGTTTTATAATTTTTTGATTTTTTTGATTTTTTAGCTTTTTTTTTTTTAAATTGTTCACCTTGCCTCAAAAAGGCGCGTGCCTCACCTTGTGCCTCAAGCGCAAAATGGCCCTTGCGCATTTTTTGCGCCTTGCACTTTTAAAACACTGGATTTTCCTGAAGGGAAGGAGCCAACAGGCTGTAAGTGGGTGTATACCATCAAATATCATGCTGATGGCTCTATTGAGAGGTATAAAGCCCGACTAGTTGCAAAAGGCTATACACAGGCGTATGGGATTGACTACCTGGAGACTTTTGCCCCTGTTGCGAAGATGATCTCTGTGAGGGTCCTACAATCTTTGGCAGCTCATTCAAATTGGCCCCTCTATCAGCTAGATGTGAAAAATGCCTTCTTGAATGGAGAGTTACATGAGGAGGCGTATATGTCTCTTTCACCAGGGATGTATGGCCCAGACATGGAGGGTAAAGTGTGCAAGCTGAAAAAGCCTCTCTATGGGTTCAAATAGTCACCTAGAGCTTGGTTTGAGAGGTTTAGAGCTACTCTTGTTAACTTTGGTTACACACAAACTCAATTTGATCATACTCTCTTTGTGAAGAGGAGAGGTTCATTGGTGGTGTATCTTATAGTTTATGTGGATGACATTGTAGTGATTGGCACTGATGTGACAGGGATTGCTAACCTTAAAGCCTTCCTCCATACAGAGTTTGAGATCAAAGATTTGGAGGAATTAAGGTATTTCTTAGGTATTGAAGTGGCTCGATCTAAAGATGGAATCTTCATATCCCAACGCAAGTATGTGCTAGAGTTGCTCACTGAAACAGGTAAAATGGGTGCAAGACTGGTGGCTATCCCTATTGATACGAGACACAAACTTTCTGCTTCTGGTGGAGAACTGTTAAAGGATAGGGGAGCGTTTCAAAGGTTGCTAGGGAAATTGCTATATTTATGTATGACTCGCCCTGACATTGCATATGCTGTTAGTTGCATTAGCCAGTTCATGCATGCCCCTAGAGATACACATATGGCAGCAGCGGAGAGGATTTTATGTTACTTGAAGAGTACTCTGAGGAAAGGTATTCTTTTTGCTAAACATGCCAGGTGAAACTAGGGGTACTATAGTATGGTGGCAGGTAATATTGTTTCTTGGAGAAGAAAGAAACAATTTGTGGTTGCTAGATCTTCAATTGAGGTAGAGTACAGAGCTATGGCTCATGGAGTTTCTGAGTTACTTTGGCTTTGATCCCTGATGGAGGAGTTGGGTGTTGAGTATGACAGACCACTGATGCTGTATTGTGACAATCAGACCGCCATTAACATTGCCCACAATCCTGTACAACATGATAGAATGAAGCACATTGAAGTTGACAGGAATTTCATCAAAGAAAGAGTGGCTTCTGGAGAAGTTTGTCTACCCTTCATTACATCTGAAGGACAGTTAGCTGATATTCTTACCAAAGGAGTCTCGAAGGCCAAGCTACAACATGATACAAGCATGCTGGGCATGATTGACATCTATGCTCAGCTTGACGGGGAGTATAGAGAAGATGGGCCGAATGGCCCATAGTCCACAATTGTGTTTTAATTTTATGTTTATGTTCTATTTTGTTAACATGCCTCTTTCTTATGGGCCTGTTAACTTTAGTTTCTGTTATGTTTAATTAACTAAGGATTTACTTGTAATTTCCAATTATTAGTGATTATTCTATAATGAAAAGGATTAGGGAAAGGAGGAGATGTATGAACAACTCTTCTATTTCACCCTTTCTTCTCAATCGTTCCCTTCCTCTTATTCTCTTCTTGCTGTCTCCTTTTGTTTCTTCTTTCTTTTCTGATTTCTTATTTCTTTTGGGACTGTTTTTCTTCTCTGATCACAGGACCACCTAACTCAACTTCACAAACACAGATGATCTGCAACAATACTCTCACAGCCACACTCAACTCAGTTGACATGTACATCACACATCACAGCCTGTTCCATTCACTAACAATCACAAAACCCCTATTGGATAGTCTGAATGAAGGGTCTCTGTTAAGCCCAGTGGAGGAGAAAACCCAGACGGAGCAACTCAGGCCCAGCAGGCCCAAGTGTCAGCCCAGAACACCACACATCACGCGTACGGCACCACCCATTACATTCGTGTATACCCCGACGTCCACGTAATGGAAAGCAATCATAGTCTGTGTAAGACGCTCAGAGTTGGTTACAAGTTGTTAGCTGGCCATGCGCTATATAGGCCAATCAACGAATGCATGAAAGACAGTGAATAACTCCCTTGATATTTTCTCTCCCTCCCTCTCTCTCTCTCTCTCTCTCTCTCTCTCTCGTCTTCAACCTCATGACCACTTCAGGAGGGCGAGCTCCCTCGAACCAGCTCACTGGAAGCAGAGTAGCAGTGGGAACTTATCAATCTCACATCTCCATGCTCACAGTGATGGTTAGAACCACCATAAACTGTCTTAAGAAGCAAGCAATTCTGCTTTAATCCTCAATTCCTCAGAAAACAAATAAAAGAAGAGAGGAGAAGCAGAACAAGAGGACAAGAAAGATGAGGGAGGACACCAACCAGGTTTTGCTAACACTCTTATACCATGAAACCTGTTAGTTCCTTGTAGCGAAAAGAGAACCCTCTTGCTCTGTTCAGTTGAGAATACAATTAATTAATCTCTCCCAAAAGGCAGATGGGTTCTTCATTAAAGAAAGGGAAAAGACTAAACTACCCTGCTGCCCAACACTACACAAGCCATCACATAAACAGCCTCTGGCTGATATACAATATGACATGACTATAATCTAAGACAAACAACTCCTCAACAATAACCAATTGCAAACAGCCACCAAATCAAAGGAACTGATAAAGCAGTCAAAGAAAGGGAAAAACAGGGAAATAGCCTTAATGAAAAACTTGGGCTGACAAACTGTACTTTTTTCCCAAACAGGCCTGACCAAATGACCAATATATTTAAAAACTTAATAGATTGAGTACTACTTATGTGTGCATTCTTTTTGAATTCCAAGGTCCCTGCCTAGTATGGCTGCTGACATCATTGTTATGGCCTGATGATGTCAGCAGGCCATCTGTGGAGCAAGCTCGGCTTCAGGTCCTCTAGATCCTTTGTTGTGATGATCTGATACCAAGATGAGCTTTATTTCTTGATTTTGGTAGTATGTGATTGAGAGGAAGAATTAGGTTAACTAAAGTAAAGAGGAACGATATAAATACCCCCTATACAATAAGAATCAAGGATTAAAGTATTGATATGATACTCCTGATATGGGGCATATTGTATCCGTATCCATATCCATGGCCACAGATATGGGATATGCCATGATTAGGTATGTATCTCATGAGCCATGCATATCGGCACAATACGCCTCCGTCTCTGCTCTAATCAAGACCCCTTTAAAGCAGAAAATTTCAGACTCACAGCAGTAGGTTTTGGCCACAGGTATTAACAAGTAAAAAAGAATAAGGAAAAGAACTGTTTATTCACACCTTAGTGGAAGAAAGCCATAGAATAGAATGCTTTCTTTACAAGCCCTGTAAACATTCTTTTATAGACCAATTAGATACAAATTCCTACTTGTATTTAGACTCTTAACTCTTTGTGTACAGATTTCATTAAAAATAAAAATTCAATTTATATAAGAAATCAGAAATTACTAAAAACAGCAAATCATGATTTTACCATAAACAATAATTGCAAAAATATGGGGAATTACTAAATAGTAAGCTTGGACTTTACTATAAATGATAAATTCTAGAATATTGAAGTTTAACTCTCAAATGGCTAAACTAACATGGACTAAACTTGACACAACTCTACTATACGACACAGCCAGTACTGGTCTAACATTGGCTTTGACTTTGACCATGACATACAGAATCCATAATAGTCATTTTGAAGACTTCAGTTGGGACACTTCTGCATCTGATTGAGCTGATATTTTACAGTATTTAAGTACTTTAAGTGTATTTTACTCCACCAAATTTTAATCAAATTGGCCAAGGTTTGACCGACCAAATAGTCTTTTTTTTTTTCTCTTTGAGATTTGTTGAGAATCTTCTTCTGTGGTTGCTTTCCTTGCTTCCATCTTTGCATCACCTTCTGCTATTGGGCTCGAGAACCATAGTGATCTCTCATCTGAGGCCCTGAAAATGCTACCATTTAACTTATAAAAAAGGGAGAAACTTTTGCATGATCTTTTCCCTGACTGTAATACAAATAATAGCTTCTTGTTCAGCTTGCTTTTATGTAATGTCTCTCCTGTTATTTCTGTTTTTTCTAAGAAACGAAGTTTTGTTTTGGTAGGAAACTCTATATTGCTGATGCAAGACCAAGAAAAAATGCTTTAGCGAATGGGGCAATGGGAGGTGGTTCTGAGTCACCTTCTAATTATTTCCAATCTGAGGTCTGTCATTGGTTTGACTTGTGCCTGTATTTCTTCCTTGTTTTTTTTTGTGATGTTTCTATTTATACTATTGATGCATTTGTACTATGCCATCAGATAGTTTTCTTTGGAATAGACAATATCCATGCCATGAGGGATAGTCTTGCTCGACTCAGGGACTACTTAGATACTCACGGTGCCACTTCTTCAGATGGAGTGTCGTCATTTTTGGTCAGTTATATGGGATTTAACCGTACTGAGTTTCTTTTTTGGATATATTTCATTTATTGTTTATGGAAATACATTCCCCATATAGTTGGGATAGGGCATGGATGATGACGATTTATGGAAATACATTAATTTAGAAACAAATGAGACAAATGTTAGTTATGTATGAACTTGAAATTGTTGATACTAGTGCCTTTTGCATGTCAATCACTAAGTTACTAAGATAACTTTGCAGTTATAATTTATGTGTTTTTGTTGGAATATGGTATTAGTAACTTAGTTTTGAAGAATGTTTGTCTAGTTTTCTGTACTGGCGATTACCCTAGGGAAATTCTACAGTTCAAATTAAAAGTTTTGATATAGAAGGCATGTGATGTTCTTCATGTTATTCACGGTTTGTGAGAATTGATGGTTTTACCAATACTATTTTATTCCTGCTCTTTTGATAGGCTTTCCACAGACCACAATCTTATTATTTCATTTAAATATGTCAACCAAGGTACTCAAGCTCAACACAACCATTTTCACTGCCTTGTTTGAATCCATAGCAAAGAGGAAACCAAAGAGAGGAAAATGCCTGTATAAGAGAGAGGGTTCGAAAAGATGGTGACATGTATTTAGAGAGTTGGGGGATGCCATGAACCATGAAGACTGAGGAGAAATTATAAAATGAGTTGAATGAAACAGAATGTAAAATGTGCATAGCACAGAAATGGGGAATTGAGATAGAAGTGGTGAGAGTAGAAAGGGTGGATTAGAAATGAGTGTTCCATGAACTTTTTTATGGTAGTTAATAGGATCCAATTAAAGATTGGGAGTGAATGATACAAGGCAACAAAGAAGCAAAGAGGGAGAGTAGAACTCCCAATACAGTTAAGCCCCCAAACCCTGAAAATGAAACGATGACATTACATCTCCCTGTGCAAAAAATGCAGTTAAGCCCCCAAACCCTGGGCACACATCCAATACGCTCCCTTGCAAAACAATATCATGCTTCTCTCTATCAACAATAAAAGAAGTTAAGAGATCATAGATGAGCAAATGAGGATACAAGGAACACATATAAGTCAGGGATTTGGTCTGAAGCAAAAGGAGCTCAGGTTGCCCACTGGGGTTGGGGGTCAATATTTGAGAAGGATATAAAGAAATAGAAACATGAAATGAAATTCCTACAGGCATGTACATTAACCACCCCAACCATTCTTAAAAAGGTCCTCCATGTCTGAAATATGCCATTGTCTTCCCAAGATAGATATAAAGTCAAAAACTTTAGTTGCAGCATACTCATATTGGTTGAAGGGGTGATATTGTCAATTCGCTGTCTGCCTCACATGAAAAACACATATGGGAGGAGAGAGTCCACTTCATCCGATATCATTAAAGGATGTCATATGTATTATTGTTCATGTCTGTAACTTGGTGGCTTTATTCTTCGTGTTTGTAACTTGGTGGTTAGGGCTGAATACTGGGCCATTGCTGGCCCAATGTCCAACCTGTCCTGGACCATCAAAAACTATGGCAGTCCTGAGCCATAATTTTGTGGTTATCTATGTTAGGTAGTTGCTAGTCAACCTAGTGGATGCTTAATCATCCTAGCCAACTGTGTATTGGGCATCAATTGATTCTTGATTGGTGTGGTTGGTATTGCCCTCAATTTGTCGGTTTATTACAATATTAGCTGAATTTTTTATGGGAAAGGATGTAGGGCAGATGCAAGTAAATTAATAAAGTTCAGAAGCTAAATTTTTTTGTGAACCAAACCTGTAATCTTATTGGAGTATATGTGCAATTATCTTGATCCAATAAGAAAATAAAAAGGTTGAAGGGTATCTTTACACTATTTCACTGTCTTCTGAAGTTGTATTGCTGTTTCAATAATGTATAATGACTTAGATGTCGTAAATGTTATTATAACCATTTATATTATTTAAATTGATCAGAGAAATGGTGGATGGACCTGGGGTGGGGGACATCTTAGCAGTATGTCAGCTTCAGTTTCCACCCTGGGAGATAGTGGATGGCTAATACATATTCAAAGTGTTCTAGCTGGTTCTGCTTGGATTGCAGCACGTGTTGCTTTGGAGTCATCCTCAGTTCTTGTGCATTGCAGGTTTGTTTGAATCCTCTTTCTGATGTCTTTCTTGTGTCAACGATTGCAAACAATTGTAGAACACACTTGCTACTTATTTGCTTGCTAGGTGGTTGTTCAAGGTATTATGTTATTTATGTACTCGAATATTACACTGTTACTTCTCTTAGTGGTTTTGAAATCTGGACCTTGTAGCTGAATGGCTATCACATTTTTGAGAACTCAACACCAGCTGAGATTTAAGAATGAGGATGGAACACCAAATTAATCAGAAATAGACTCCATAGGGGTATTAAAACAAATGGTTTGTCCAAGAGAAAGCTGTTGTGCTAGGTATGCTTGCTTATGATAGTCATCCATTTAAAGCTTCCTAGTTCCTCTCCAAATGTCATTAAAGGAGAAAGGAGAGAAGACGACCATGGATTTGACCTAGTGTAGTTTGTACAATACAATCAATTATTGCAACCTCATTTCTTTCCTTTTCAAGGAACAATCTTGCATTTCTCTCCTCCCAAAATTGTCCAAATCACCACAGCCGTAACACATCTGCACAAGATCCCTTCCCCTCTTCTTGGGCCATATGATGGTAGATGGGTCAAATAAGCTACTCCTCTGCAAAGGCAAAGTCCAAAAATAACCTCTACCAAATACCTACAACAAAAGGATAGGAGATTAGTAGGCAGTAACATCTCTCACTGTTGACTTTGCAAAGGATACATCAGCTTGGAGAGATGCACAAGAAAGGTCTTCTTTGCAAGATATCCAAGGTATTTATCTTCCCATGAAAATCTTCCACCGATCTTTGGTGAGACAGGTCTACACCAAACTTCTTTGATAGGGAAAGGCTGAGAGGAGAGGGGGGAAGAGCAAAAAGAAGCACAAGAGAATAGGCCATTGGGGCTAGGAACCCAAATCTGATTATCAGGTTTAGAAAGGTCCAAAGAAACAGATCAAGAGGTTATAGTAACAAAGAAGCTGAGTCAAAACTCATGATCTCTCAACCATCTCCTATAACCCAAATTCCAACTTAATCAATTCACAAGGGAGATTGAAGTCTATCCTTGAAATAGGTTCCATCTTGAAAAAGGAAAGAGTGTAAAGAGAGAAAACGATCCTTAAGAGGATATTTTCCAATACACGCATCATACCTTGTATGGCTTAAGAAGTTAGGAAGGACACCATGAATAGCCTTCCAAGGTGAGACCATCATAGCCCACAAAGACAGAACAATATCTTAACCATTGTCAGCTTGTCCATGTATGCTATCCACCACCTGGTGCCACAATCTTACCCTATCCAAAGGTCATATCCACAACCATTTACCCAATAGTGCTCTATTCTTCTTTCCTATGTTACTTATGCCCAAGTCCCCTGTTCCCTCCTTCCACAAATAATTTTCCACTTAACAAATGGTCCTTTCTATCTTTACCTAGCTCCCACAAGAAATCTTTCATAATTTTTTCTAACTTGTACACCACCTTTTGAGGAATCCTAAAGGCAGCAATAATAAATCTGTAGGCTAGCTAAGGTAGACTTTATTAGGGTTACCCTATCACCCAAGGAAATGTAGCTCCTCTTCCAAGCAGCCAAACCACACGTTTCTATAATTGGGATCTAAAACCTTCCCTTCTGATGGTTATCTTCTAAAGGCATACCCAAGTATTTTAAGGGCTAAGAAGCATTGGTACACCACTACACACCCTAATGATGCTACTATAAATCTCATCTCCTCTCCAGATTCGCTCCAACCACACAATTCTTCTTGAAATTTATTTTAAAGTTTAATAACTGCTCAAATAATTTCACCACCCATTTTAAACTCATTGCCTTTTGGTGATCACCATCCTCAAAGAATATAATTGTATCATTAGTAGACTGTGGATGGGTTACTACAGTATCATTCCTTCTAGGAGAGGAATGGTTTTGTGAAATAGGATTCTTTCCAAGTGGGAACATGGTTTGCAATATCAATGATATTTGGTGAAATATCTCTGATATATCCCATTTTGCTAGGCGAAATGGAATTTTCTTAGAATCTTTTTTTCCAAATATCCTGATATTTTGCTGATATATTGGTGATATTTCAAATTTCATTGATAGACTATATTTTTAAGGTTTAAAATTTTAGAATACTATTAAAAAATTTTTGATATTTCATTAAAATCATCATAATTTTTAAAAGCATTTTTCTAAAAGAACCAAATGGAGAATTGGTGATTGGATAATTGTTTACTATTTTCATATCATTCACTAAGACACTATTGTTCAAAATAAGAAGAAAAATGCATATAAGTGTCATTCATTGATCCAGTCCTTTGACTAACCATCATCATGTCCTATGTTGAATACAAGATCCAGACCACAGGTTAGGTTATTTTTTTGGCTTTAGGTTACCACACGAAACCATTGTCTGCATATGTTACATCTCTACAGTGTCTTACTAGCTGTAGTTAACCACATAGCTAACTTTGTAAGTCATACTTGACATGGACGTGTTGTCATGTAGTGCCTAAACTAGGTCCCTTGCCATGTCTTCTCTATTTAGATTGGTTATGACTTATGACTCCACTTGGGTTGGATCCGTCTGTTATTTTCATGTGTATTGGCCACTACCCTTTTAAAAAACACTGGCAAAATCGGATAGAGCTATGGTTTCTAATGTGAAGATCTCATTTAGGTGGATCTGGAGATCAGCTAACTCCCTTTCTGATGGGATAACTAGTGATGGTGTGGAAAGGGAATTTTGTATTGGGAAGTATCCCTATTGGTATGGTTTCTGTTGAAAGTGGGCTATAATTGCTTGCTTTTCTTCTTATTATTACTTGTTAGTGGGCTTGTTTTTCTTGTTATGGGCCTTTTGTTTTTACTTTTCTATAGCTGCCTCCTAACCAGGGGCATATTTGTAATTTTCCTTTATTTCCCACAACAATTATAAAAGGCAGTGGGAGACCTAATGGCTCCTACAATTTGGAGTTTTTTCTTAACTATTTTCTTCTATCTTCTTCTTTCTCTTTCTGCTTCTCAATCTTGATGCATCTCTTCTATTATTGCTTTAGAAGACGTGTTTCCTTAATTATTGCTTTGCTTTATAAGTGTTGTTAGCCTATACCTTTGAAGATATATCTCAGTCAATGATGGGCCAAGATGGTTATTGTCTTCTATACTTTATTTTTCAGAGATAATAAAGCTCTTCTGGTATCATTACTAATAAAAAATACTATAGTCATAAGCAATGTTTTAAAAAACGACTCAGATCCAGAGTAGGAACTGTTCTGGCCACCGGTTTTCGGGTCGATGGTTCGACCGCCTCCATTCTAACAAAAAAAAAAAATTAAAATTACAAATGGTCAAAAATCATTGAACGCGTCGAATGATCGATGGTTCGACCACCTAGGTCAATGGGTCATTGACCAATTCATAGGTTTTTGGCCAGGGACCAGGTTTGGGGTAAAATGGAACCGGTTGCCTGGACAGTTCCCGAGCTGAACGGTCCGATTGTCTGGGTCAATGGTGGTTCGAAAACATTGGTCATAAGCACTAGTTCTCTCTCAATGAGGTCGCAGTGACAACAGGCTTAAACTATTATCTTTGATATTTAGATTGGTTGGTTTTACAGAATTCCAATCTTCATGTGAGGAATGCAAATCTTTTCTTGTTACTGCTTTTTGTGAAGCTTTGCACCCTGAATTTATCTATTTGATTCCTTGTTTCTATTCTTACCCATCTTGTGCAGATTGGAAAAAAATGCCTTTATTAGAAACCTTGAGCCCTTCTATATTTTTTAAAGTTTTTTTATTGGAACAAGCATTAGATTTTGACTGTCACAAGCTTATTGTTTTGCATAGTGATGGGTGGGATAGAACAACACAGTTGGTCTCACTTGCTAGTTTGCTGCTTGATTCTTATTATCGGACGTTTAAGGGATTTCAGGTATTACATTCTGAGTCTTTTTTTTTTTTTTAAAGTTTGTTGCATAGTCTTACTTTTGGTTTTATGCTTGATTGTAAGACGTATGAATCATCAATGCTTATAGATGTAAATCAGTCCTCTAATATCAAGATTAAATTTAGTGATTAGCAGAATAGAACAAATCTGAATAACTGTCTAAGAGAGGAAATTGATGATGACAAGTATACCCTTAAGTGGGCGGCCAACTTGGCAGTTACATAAAGAAARTAAAATAAGAACAAATAACAGGCCCATTAAGTGAGGCCCATCAACATAAAATAAGAGATAAAATAAAGGATATCACATGGAAGGCTGTTAGGGCCCATTCGGCTCAGTCTCTTTACACTCCCCCTCAAGATGAGCATAGATGTCAATCATGCTCAGCTTGCTTATATAGTGTGTCAATTTCCCCCTGGGAACTCCCTTGGTCAAGATATCAGCTAGTTGCTCTTCTRATGTGATAAATGGTAAAMAAACTTCTCCTGAAGAGACTCTTTCCCTTATGAAATGCCTATCAACCTCAATGTGCTTAGTTCTGTCATGCTGGACAGGATTATGTGCAATGTTGGTAGCAGCTTGGTTGTCACAATAGAGCATCATTGGTTT